AATCCATTGGGAAGAACTGAATTCCAAGGGCAGAAACAATAATCAGGGATCTCTCCCACCCTACTGTTAGGAGTTCTGTAATAGTACCCAGATACATTAACATAAGTTATATGCAGAGGATCCAGCTCAGACCCATACACGGTCTGTGGCTATCACTTCAGTCTGTGATCCTCTATAACCCTTACTTAATTTATTCTGTGTTCCATGTTTTCATTGTGTCCTTTATCCCTTTGGTACTACAATCCATTTCCCCCCTCCTCTGTGGGGTTGCCCTGCTGCCGCCAAGTGTTTGGCTATGCGTTTCTGTATCTGCTCCCTTAAGTTTCTGGTTGATGACTCTCTGATGACAGTTAGGCTGCATGTCGATCAGTCAACATGTATAACAGAATATCATTTGTAACAATTTCATTTTGTTTTTTTCTAGTCATGTTTGGTTCTATCCTGAATTTGTGGGCTGTCCAGCTTCTGGGTCCCTGCCATCCTGGCAATGTCAGGTGTGGGACCCTCTCTCGACATGGGCTTCAAGTTGCACAAGTCAGTGGTTGGCCACTCCCACAAGTACTGTTTTATCATTGTCAGGTGTTCTGTGTTTCATGTCAGTGAAAGGAAGTGTTCATTCAAACATCAAATTTTCACACCCGCGTGGCAGCAGGATGTTCTGGCTTCTGATGGGCATCCTCGAACAGCCATACAAAGGCATATTTATTGATTGTTGCAAAAATTGTTTTGGGGGTTAAACGAGTTCCTCATACCAAAGTCCTTGATATAATCTATATGGTTTTTGAAGGAATGCTCCCCTGCTTCTTTACTCCTTAAGGTGTACTATTTTCAGTATCCAATAATCCAAGAGCTTTAGGTGTTCCACAAGTATGTCATGACCAGAGTCATGAAAAGATTATAAAACTCCTTCAGAAACACAGAAAACAATCATTGATTTCCACAAAGATTTCTTCAAGGTTAAAGTACATTTAGAAAACAACTACTCTGTTCTAATGTTCACCCTTGATACATCAGCTCTGCTAGATTCCTACATTTCCCCTTTTGTTTAAGGTATATTAATTATGTTGAAAATTATGTTGTCACACAGTGAAGGCAACATTTTCTCTTTTGTGGTTTCAAAGAGTCTTAGGTATAAAAGTCAGAATAGATTTTAAAGCCAGTAAAGTTATTACAGCAAAAACAAGTATTGCAAGCATTAAGATAAGAAATCTATTAAAATAATTCACAGGATTAAATAAAGTTATTGTATCTGCCAGACTTTCTATAACATGCACCCCAAATACACCAGGCAACATACATGTGAAAGACTTTCTTAATTTCTTGTTGTAATTCATAAGTTATTTGAGAAGAATTAGGGTGACTCAACCAATTAATTTTAACCTTTACCTCATCATTCTTACTTTCATTAAACCTTAAAGGTTTAATACAATAAGATGTAATAGTCCCATTACATTTTAGGTCTCTAACTGATCTCTCCGAAGTAACACACCTTTTCTCAAGTTAGCTATTTCATTAACTACCTCACGATCTATTATGTTAGGCCCAAAATTCTGCAGAGTGCTGATGTCAGTTTCTAACAAATTCAGTAGATTGAATTTCTTTATTAAAGCCCAATCCAGGAGATACAGAAGTAGCAGGCAATGCAATAATCCCCATAATCACAGGAATAATCAAGCCAATGTGTTTTTCTTAATATATTTTCAGCAAATCTCTGGACTCGTATCAGCGTAAGTGAGTCTTGTCTTGATAGCTTCACTGGCACCCAGATTGCTAGTGATGCTTTAAGACTATATAAACTTTCAGAAGTGACACCCAATAACATACCATCATTAATACATGTATGAAAAGCACAGCATTCTGAAGCATTAATCTAACAAATCTTAATCAATAAAAACCAAGAGTCACATATCCAGGTAAAAAACAGAAAGACAAAAGAATAGGAATCAGGGACCATTTTTTTCCTACATGTCTCCTTTCCTCTTTCAAAGAGGCCCCTGAGATCCTGTCTCCACTCTGCCTTATCACTTTCTCTCTCTGCCTCCCTATTGCTGGGGTTGATTACAGGTATGAGCCACCACTGCCATGCCTCTATGGTTAACTAGTGGCTAGCTCCACCCTCTGGTCTCCAGTCAAGTTTTATTTGTCAGAACATAAACAAAATATCACGCAACATTTCCCCCTTTTGAGTAAAGAAAAAGCAAAGGTTTTAACTAACATAGAAAATCTATACACGATAAATACCATAGCCATATACAAATATATATGCCAATAATTACATTAACTACGTCTAATCTATTAACAGTTGAGAAATTCAGAGAAAATACTCAATTATATATCCCATGTTGGTGAGTCTAAGGTGTTATATTAATTCATTTTTAATTCTAACTTGTATTAGCAACCTAAAATTGTAGTTTTATATCTCTCAACCTTAAACGTTTTACATCTCTTGTGTGAGGTTCTTTGCTGAAATTGTTAAGAAGGTAGACTATAACTATAACTATCTGGTCTCCAACTCCATAAGATGCTGGAGAAGGAAAAAATATTACCTAAGTAAGCAGGAAATGCAAGCAAGTGACTTCTAAAATGTATGAGAAATGACAGAAACAGATTGCTGCTTAGCCAGTTGTTCAAGGCTCCTCTGTAACATTGGTGCATCCATCTTCAGCCTACTGGCCTAGAATATTTGACAGACATTTCTGTAGAGCAGGATATTCTGAAGAGTTGTCCTACCTTGTCTTGGCAAAGTTCAGCAGTCACTTTCATTTGTATCCTGATTGTCCAATTTCAGAACCATACTGTCAGCAGTCAAGGCAAGGACAGTTCCTTGCCCAGTTATTAACTTTTGACACAAAGAAAACATCCTCCATATGGAGATTCTTTAATTTCCATCTACTTCTCTGAAGTAGATTGGTGATGCCAGGAGCAGTGTCATTATCATAAAAAAGAACGTTATGCTATTTAAACATGTTAAATGCCAAATTCTATAGATCTCTGAAGTTAGGATAAAAAGTGAATTAATATAATACCTTAGACTCACCAACACAGGATATATAATTGAGTATTTTCTCTAAATTTCTCAACTTTTAATAGATTAGACATTGTTAATGTAATTATTGGCATATATATTTGTATATGGTTATGGTACTTATTGTGTATGGTGATGGTACACATCTTTAATCCCAGCAGCCACACTAGCTAGTCAAAGAAGCTGAGCAGGGGTGCTACACACCTGTAATCACAGCACTTGAGAGGAATATAAGATTTGCATCAAAATTGACCTCTTATGGAGGTAAATGTTCAGCTTTTAGCACCTCACATTTATCTGATATAACACAGAGAAGGAAATGGGTTAAATATATAGAGCTAGAAGGACAGAGAGGAAAATTAAAGTCATATTTGGTTAACATAACAATGAATTTGTGGGGATATGATTTGTTAAAGCAATGTAATACTTAGATAAACATTCCCCCAATCTTAGAAACTAGCCATTAATTAACATATGTTTCTGGGGAAACTATTACAAGGTATTATATACAACAGTCACTGATCATTCAGGTTGTTCAAGAACAAGGCACAACAGCTGCTGATATTTCAAAGGCACCAACAGCCTCACCTTCAAAATAATTGACAGACAAACCTGTATGGATTGCAAACTGGCCTTTAACAACAGAGAAACTGCAGGCTTTAGAATAGTTGGAACTAAATGCTCAACGTATTGAAGAATTAGCCAGCCCTTGAAATTCTCCTGTATTTGCTATTAAAAAGAAATCTGAAAAATGGAGAATATGACCAGATAAGAGCTGTTAATGAGATGATTAAGCCAATTGGTACTCTATGGTCTGAAATTCCTTTGCCTTCTCTGTTGGCTAAATGATGGACTCTTATAGCTGTTGACATAAA